GTTTGATGCTGATTGGCTGGGAAGCCGGTTTTCCAGCCAATCAGCATGGAGCCGGCTTCCTGATTGACCGGGAAGCCGGCTCCATGCTGATTAGCTTGGAAGCCGGTTTTCAGGCCAATCACAATGAAGCCGGCCAAACAACATGGAGCTGGCTTCCTAGGCAGTCAGGAAGGCATGTCATTATCCACCTCCTGGCTTCCTGATTGCCCATGAAGCCGGCTCCATGCCAGTGGAAGCACCGGTATCAGTACTCAGTATCGGTGAATACCGAGAGCAAAGTATCGGTACTCGTACTCAAAAATGAAAAACCGGTATCCCTAATTTTGAAAAGTTAACTTTTCAGCATGTTCCTCAAATGCACCTGAAATTCAAATTTGAGCAAGTTCACCCATCACTACCCACCACCAGCATTTGTACCATCTACAAATTATGTCCAGCCCAGGCCACTAATAATTCAATTACATCTGCACTCCAATATGATGAATTGCCCGTCATATTCATATATTATTTTTTGAGCTCTACAGTGTAATTGGCAGTATACTGCAATGTTAGTCTCTAATGCCTACTTGTCTATGATACACAGGAAGTTCTCTCTCTGTTTCCTGTATAATGCTGTATTCCCGTATACATACATGTAACGTCCTTCTAAGCAAGTAAAACTTAACTCTGCAATCCTCAAGAACTCAGTGCTTTATCTAAACACATAACCAACAGGTTAAACCAACTTTATTAAGCTACAATACACACTGGTTTTATGCATTGATCCATTCTGTGTTAAAGCAGACCATTCATTCTGAATCAGCTGGTATGATAAATTATATAAGATATTATTTTTATTATTATTATCAATAATAATTTATTTTATTTTATTTTTTTACTTTTTATCCATTTTTCTTTATTTTTTCACTTTTTTTCACTTAACTTCATTGCTATCATTCATTGCAATGTGATTGCATTCAGAGGTGACAGGTTCTCGTTATGAGCCTGCTCTCCAATACAGAAGATAGAGCACACGTGCTCTATCTTCTCTACAGCTCCATTTCTGACAGCTGACACAAGAAGCGTTGCGAGTACATCGGTCCTGTGTTACTTATCACAGAACAGAGAACAGATGTTCTCTGCTCTGCTCCCCACTCTCCATCCTGTAGGCATTTGCCATGTAGGCATTTGCCATGGTCCAGGGTAACTTAACTCTGCAATACCTCAAGAACCCCAAAAACCCCAGTGCAGAGGGAGGCAGACGGCTGACCATTGAGCGGGGGGGGAGAGGGGGGGGGCGGAAAAGCAGGCTGATCTGATCTGAGATGTCTCCCTAGCTCAGCCCCTCCTCGATGTGAGTTCCCATTGCCTATCCTTATGACAAAGTGTGCATGCCTATGCTGGGAGGACTATAAGCCCTGCTCCTGACCAGGCCCCCTCTGTCTGGTGCCCCATAGCGGCCGCAGGTTCTGCCACTGGTGAGACCCCTTGTAATGGCAATGTGAGGTGTGTAATATGCATATGCAGAAAGCTCACTACTGAAGTCCCCTAAAGATATAAGACACTTCTGGGTCTTTTTACTCTAGCATTTACCAAATACTGAGATATTGATTTTTGGTGAAGTGACCCTTTATCTTATCTTACATTTTTCTAAAGGGAAGCAGGACTATGTCACACCATGTTGTGGCTGAGTTCAGTTGTCTCCTGTCATTATTCCTCTCTGTGACTGCTTGGCAAGCTCTACAACAAGGTCTACCTGTGGTGTACAATCCCCATATTGGTTATATTGGTTAGACTCAGAACAGATATAGGGTCCAAACCCAAACATTAATCCTATAATACTGACTCCTACACTGTGTACTAGTTACAATTGACCCCTGCACTGTGCATTATATACTCTGCACCCCTGCACTCGGAATTACTTACTACTGACCACTGTACTCTGCATTAAATTCTAATGACCTCTGCACACTACATTTCTAAA